GGCTAGTAATATTGACGGTATATTTGGGCCCTTATTTGTAATAATTTTTAAATATCGGGCCTTTATCTGTAATTATTCTCATTTTGGGCCCTAATTTGTAATTATTTTCGTTTTTTGGGCCCTTATCTGTAAATTCCCCTTAATTTTATGCATTCACTGATTCAACAATTATACCATTCATGCAACAGATCATGTTATACAAACCTCAATTCTTTTCTTGACACCACGAATTTTAAGGATACTGATTAATCCATGTCATGAGTTGATCTTCAGAACTTTATCCCTGAAGTTACATCTCATGCAAATCACTTTACCTAGCAATTTGTCCTATTTGCAAAATAACTACACATATACTAAACCTAATATTACCATATTTCAACACTTATATTAATATGCATCACTAACTCTAATCCCATATGAATCAGCGATCTTGGCAACGGAACTATCCACCATGGGGCTAAAATAAAAGGATCTAACCCAACATGCATTATCACTAATCCCTACAAAACAATATATAGTTGATTATTATTACACAAGAGCTAGCATGACAGCTGTATTACATAACTCTACAGAGTTTGATTGTTCAACATTGTCATGTTTTTTAGCATCTATATTGAAACCTTAGTTTCATGTTAATAATAATTTCCAACATTGTTTGTTCCATTGGCATTCTTCAATGAAGTATCATCATCAAATATCAAATCTGCTTCGACTTCATCATTGGGTCTCTCTTCAGTATCTTTGATTTTTCAGCAATTTTTTTATTTAACAAAGGTAGGTTTTCCATTTTTCTATCATTCATTTGACACATTCGATCATTATCGATCAGGCTAGTTTCATTGATGTTTATTTTGCTAGCCATACTTCTTTTACTAACCAACACCCTTTTGTTATTGTCATTTTCTCTTACACCATCATCACTTCTGCATATCCTGATTCGATTATCATTATTGATCATATTGTTGCTGTTAAACTTAGTTTTCATCAACAATTCCAGTAGGCCTATCATCATCAAATCCATTTTCGCAACCACATCCAACAGTGCTTGTATCATTACTATTGCTCCATCTTGATTATAATGTTCAGAAACAGGTATTTCATCAACATCATCCATATCAGTGGGTTTTTGATATTTAATAGATGCTTTACATTCATTGCTTTCAACTACAATTCTATTTCTATAGTGATATCCAAGATTACGCATTTTATCACCATTATTATTGAGTTCTTCACCATTGTTCAGATCTTTGTTCACAGGTTTCATTACTATCAGCTCTTTTTTATTACTGTATGCATTATAACTTCTTGTAGACATGTTTTCATCATTTCCAAAAGACATAGTAGATATGCTTTTACTCTTTATTTTATCTATTTGATCTGATTCATTAAAGTCCAACACATTAACAATTTCACCTTTTTCCTTCTCTTCATCAATACTATCATTTACTACAATTTCACTTTTAATACACTTAATATTCACATCACCTTTAACGGTTTCGTCATTTACTTTTTAAACTTCGTCAGGTATGTGTCTTTTGGGTCTTTTTTTATTAATGTTCATTTTATTCATCATATTAATGACCCTACTTTTTTTTCTTCACATAATTGACACCATTACAACTATTATTCCACAATTTGCCCTAATGCACTTCATATTTGCAATATCATTGTCCTTGATCTTTTCCTTTATCTATTCTGAAATATCTATACATCAGTTTCGATGTCCACAGGGCTTCTCTTCTTTAATTTCTATATGATGTATATCTATACATTTAATATTCAGGCATCAATCACAAGCTTGATCTTTCAAAGAACACCAATGAGCCATATGCCCTTTACATCGACATATATAATATAGACATGTCTTATGCTTTTCTCATTTCCCTTGAACTGTCTTTAAATATTCTATGACTTCTTAAACCACCAGCTTCACCAATGTAACCAAGTAGTTCAGCCTCTTTATTCTCTTTAGTTTAACTACTCAGGTAGACTTTTCTTTGTTTCAACTCAAACAATGTCAATTTTGATACCAAGGCTTTGATCACAGAAATTCAACAACTAACCAATGTTGGTTTTATGACTCTACCGATTTTGGTCTTACAGCTCTACCAACTTTGGTTTTACAGCTTTATCAATCTTTGGTCTCAAAGCTTTACCAATCTTTGATCTCAACTTTTTACCATCTTTGATTTCACAGATTTATCACCTTCAGCTTCATGATCTTTTCTATTCTGCGTTTGAAAACATTCTTTTTCTTCTTTTTCCTAGAACCTGATTTTCTGCCTAGAACTACCACCTTTGGTTTCGTAGCTTTACTTTCTTTACTTATTTTAGTGATTAAGACCTTTCTCTTACCCAGGTTCTTGTGTTATATACAAATTCCACTTTACCAATTCTGGGTTTGATCTTATTAAGAGATTGTTTGCTTTGCTTGTTTTGCTTGACTGGTATATCATACCAGATCTTTCACCTTGTTAGATACGTATACAAACATTTTGGTCACTTGTTCATTTAAAATAATTTCTTGTTTCTTCTTAACTAAAACTTCTCTTTTGCTTTATTAGATCGAATCATTTTATAATACAAGATTATCATTGGATAAATAATTATCTGGTTACATGTATTAGACTATTACTAAATTAATTTCATGCATTCACTGATTTGATAATCATGCTATTCATACAACAGATTATATTACACAAACTCGATCTTTTTCTCAGCACCACAAATTTCAAGAATACTGATTAACTCATATTATTTTGTATAAAGAATTTTTAAGAACTTAAGAATAAGTATCTAGAATTTTAAATTGATTTTTTATTTTAATTTCAATAAAAGTTATAAATAAAAGTTTTTTTTTATAAATTTACTTATAAAATTTAAGTACGTCAATTAATTTAATTAATAAGTCTGCAATTGTAAATGATATATTGGCTAACTGTTATTAATAAGGTCCAATTCTGTAAATTGGTAGTTATGTAAATTGAACTTGTATAATATTAATAATTAATCTGAGAAAAGAAACACATGTCTAAACATCAAAATTTTATTTGTATAAAACCTAATTTATTTGAAACTAATAAAAAGGCCTGCATTAAACTCTTAAAGAAAGCATAGATTTTAGATATGTAATTAAAAAAAAAATGAAAACTGAACTCTTAAAAACAGAACAAATATTTGATAGATAATAAGCAGCAGAAGCAGTAAATAACTTTCAAATGACCTTCAAATAACCTTCAAATGACCTCAAATGATCTCAAACAACCCAATTTTATTATGAATTTTAGTTCAAATGATCTAGGTTATTTGAAAAAAAGGCAAATGACCTTTAATTTTATCATCACCTGATAAGAAGTTCTCCTGTTCAAAATATTTCATTTTATTTACTTTAGGCTTAGGGTAAGGCCTAAATTTAGCAAGGTGTTAGATATATGCAAAATTAGCAAGAAATTTCTTTGTTAAAACATTGAAGGTAAGTTAAAATATTAGACTTGATGAAACCTGCATTATAAATTAGTAAAATCTGCTACATAGATCACATTAGAATAAAATCTGCACTTAACTATATTTTTTATTATGCAAAATCAAATTTCACCCTCATGTGATTTATGTAGCAGATTTTACTTACTAATTCACAGCATAGGTTTCACCTTGTCATAAAATATTTATTTTAGTTATACAAATTAATTTATTCAAATATATAAGCATAGCAAAATGCATTTGTAAATGGTCAAGTGAAGTAAGTGAATCAAAGATCATGTAGCTTAGCCTAGTTTTATTCAGTTTGTAGTATAATCACATATTATTAATACATACAAAATTTTTTTTTGTATATATATTAAGACTAACCAATACTAATAGATTCTTTGGCTGTTATTTAACTATATTGTTATTTTTTTCACTTTGGTTGTCTTGCTAGTGATTCTTTATTAAGATTATTTTGTAATAAATATACAAAATATTGAGCTTAATATTGTAGGTTTGACATTCTGCAGTTACTTCTAAAAGTACTTACAAGCAACCAGCCACACTGGACAGATATATTTACAAAAGACATATCATAATAAATCTACAGACAATCTGAAGATCTACTTATTCTAGAAGACCTTGTCAAACCACTACCATAAAATAGAATACTGCCAATCTAATAACTTTTTCTTATAGAAAATAAAAACAAATAAAACTAATATTAATACCAATACTAAAAAAAAAAGATAGAAAAATGAAGAAAAAGAATCTGATAGTCACAATTATAAGCCTGTATTAAGCTAACAAAAATTATATATTACAAGATAAAGAAGCTCTATATTTAACTCTATTTTAATAATATATGCATATCTAAAAAAATAAAAAATATATATACAAACTAAACTAGACTAAGCTAGACAGAGTAGTTAAAAGGCACTAATAGTTTTGAAGTATTGTTAAATAGTTTGTTAAGTCACATAACCTTTTTGTATTATTATCTGAATATACTCAGTTTCTTATTCTAGACATTCACCAGTTTTATGTTTACTAAAAGTAAACAACCTATTTTAAAAGATAAATAATACTAACTGTTTTGAAAAATTATATATTGATCTTTTGAAGAGAGTAAGCTAAACTGTCTACTTTTTGTCAAAATTTTCTTTAAAAAAGTGGTAGGCCAATAAAACTTTGTAAATTCTTCCTTGTAAGTAGTGAATATAACTAATTAAAACTTATCAGCTAAGCTTAGCTAATAAATTTTAGTCAGCTTAGTTAGCTTAGATAATTTTCTAATTAGATTTTAATCAAATAACTAGTTATATTATACTCATTTATATAGCAAATAGCAATAGATTACTCACATGTTGAACTTTACTAATGCTAAAAATACTTTAAATAAATTTGAAAAAAAATAAAAATAAAGTTAGAATTATTGAAATTACAAGATCAATTAAGATTTAATAAGTATTGTCATAGCTGATACTGAAAATGGTTAATGCTGAAATTTGGGGTCTCAATTTAAAAATATAGGCTCTGCTATAATCTATATATACTTGTTAATTATCAATTCTAACTCTAAACACTAACTCAACTATAAAAAAAAAGCAGGGAAAAAACACCCTAAAAAATTTTTAAAAGTTCATATTAAAATAGATCCGAATTTCAGCATCAGCCATTTTCAGCATTAGCTGCGACAAGTATTTATTTAATAATTTTTCTATATAAAAATGAATTCTTGTTATTTCTACCTATTTACAATTATTTAAAATTTAATAAACATTTATTTAATAATTTTTTTAATATTCATTTAACTTTATTTTTTTGTATAAAAATAAATTCTTGTTACTTTTACCTACACTATTAACAAATCTATTAAGATAGCTTTTTTATACTAGTTTAAATCAGAATAGAGATTAAAACAATTCTGATTTTTTTGAAAAAAAGTAGGCTATAAACTGTGTTGAGAAGAAAGTGATTTTATTTATTAGTTATAATATTTTAGCATTAGAGAAGAGATACTTTAAGAGAACTAAGGTTCCTGAAATTGCTAAATACTACTTTGTTTGCTGTGCCATTAAGAAAAGTATTAATTTATTGTCTTGCCAAAAGACTAAGAGGTTATATTTTTTATAAAGAATCATATTTTATTATTTGATGCATATCAAAATATACCTTTAATTCAGTTTTAATAAGAAAACTTCTTGAAAAATTTTTCAAATAATAAATTTAATAAAGAAAAGGATGATTTATTTTTAATTAAAGATGTTGTTAGGCATATATTTTTGTATATTTTATTCTGAGCTAAAAGCTTAAGTTTTTAAATCTCTGATCAAGAATAGTAGTAATATATCCTTTTACTCTAGACTCATTCTAACAGTTTCTAAATAAAAGCTCTATTTCATCATGTATATTACAAACAATTAGATGCTTAAGTATTATTTCTTTTTAAATAGATGGTCTTGTAATATTTTAATTAATGATAATATTATTGAAAAGATAAAATATTAATCACTGCCCATTATGGTTATAATATATACAAAAGGACTTAGCAACTTAACCAACTCTTAAATTCTTAATAAATCTTTTTCTTCAAGAAGCAACTTTTCTAATGCTTTAGCATTTTGTCTAAAATTTTTTTCTTTATCTTTTATAAAATCTTTTGCAGTCTTTTTATAGCTTCATAAAAATAAGATAGATTTTTAACAATGAATAAGTTGAGTTCTATCTGGTCATAGTATTATTAAATATTGAATCAAGAATAAAAATATTTTATTGTTAAGTAATAGATTTTTTTCTTAAACATTTCTATTTATATTAATTGTAGTTTTTTTCTAATTTTGTCTTTTTTAGCAACAAATAAATTTAGAGCTTTTGTATAGTCAATTAAGTTAGTAGTGTTACAGTACCGTGGCCTTCTTAACAGCAGTACTATAACAATGACACGGCTACAGGGATCCTTCACAGGT